ACAAGTAAAGTTCCCACAATGTAAGACTGAAAGAAAATATAGGAAACATGAAAAGCTATATAGGAGCAGTCAATAAATGCTGCTTGAAGGAGAAGGGATGAAAGGGTCAACAGAATGAGGAGAAAGAGAATTACTGGAGCTCTCTCAGCATACTGCCAAGGCGGAGCCATTCCCAGACTTGAGCTTCCTGGGGGCTTTGGAGAAATGTTATGGCTTGGAAGCAAAAGTACTTAACATGGATTTAATATTCTTCGGCCTTCTCTCCCAAATACTTTAATCTCACTTTACATTTGAGGGGACAGAATGGGAATACGGAAGGATCAAGGAACAATAAAAACAGTTCTGCAGTCCCTGAAAGTGCCTTCTCTTTTCTCCAGCACAAAGGTACCTCTTTATAAACCTTTCAAGGAAGACTACCAAACAGTCAGCATCTTCAGGACAAATTGTAAAATAAAAACACAAATTCCCTTGTCACATGTAAGGCTTCTCACTGAGTTTATGTGCTGTTTTGTGAAGAGGTGGGCAAAGCTTCTACTTAATAGCATTTCATATCTCAGAAGCTGAGACATCTTAAGGAAATTTGATAGAGTCCCCCACAGCTTTAAACAGCTTTTTACTTTGACCTCACTGTCTCTGGAATCTAGGTACATTCACTGTAGGCTGCTGTTTAGATTTTGGTCCAGCTGAGAAGTTAATTGCCATCTAAACAATTGTGTGGACAGCCAGAGTATCTCCCAAAGGCAACAAGTTGCCCTGGTGGTTTTAAAAAGCTTATTCTCAGAAAAATGGAGTCAGCACTACTTACACCTAGTGAGCCTAAGGAGTTGTCCAGTCAGCTTTGAAACCTTTGATGCAGAAAGCCCTGAGAATGTCAGCCTTTGTATGTGAGCATTTTCAACAACATAGGTCCAATTTGAAGGAGTCTCTTGTTCTTTTTGAGTAGAATTTTACATGTTAGATCTTACAGAAAGGGGACTAGCTGCAAGTCATTCCAGAGCAGTTAGCCATCTTTTCCTTCTAATACATACTGTTTGCATTCACAGTTGTGTGGTCATGAGTTTGGTCATATGCTGCTAGACAGCTGATGATGATCATAGATTTGATGAGTTAAGATAGTTTTCTCTCTTCTGCTCTGGGTACTTCTGGGTCCTTTGTAGATCTGATCCAGAACACATTTTGTTTTCTGTGGCTTGGAACTGTAAGGACAAGTAACTAGTCTCTAAAGGAGCACTCCAGTTGGTTATGATGCAGTTTTGGCAGGATCAGTTAGGACTCAAGGCAGATGGACCAGAGCATGACCAGTTGTCATGCTATTCATATGAGGTCCAGATAATTAATGCAACTCAGTCCAAAAGCTCAGGAATATTTTTATTGGTATAGGTACAGCCTAGTAAATCTTTGTTTCTATATGCAAACTACTGTGTTATCAGGTTCCCTTTGTGCTACCAGCAGAAAAATCCTTTGCTGATATAAATGAGATTAATTCAGTAGACTTTCTTTTAGCAGTTAACTTAACTCCATTATAGAAAGAGAAAAATGTAGTTCACTGGGCTCTGAGGCCCTATGGTTAACAAGACTCTGCCTGCGAGGAAGCCTTGCTGTCATATTCCCTTCCTCCTGTTTCTTTCACACGCCTTTCGTTCAGATCTTGTCTAGGTTCAGTAGTCAATGCAACATCACCACCCTGGTTGGAAAGGGCAGAATCGGATGGATGCAGAAGTTTGCCTAATACTTAGTGTTTATATGGCTGAGGCTGGCAGTGACTTTGACATGTAAACAGGTAAACAGGGTGTGGCTTTGGGGAAAAGGGAATGAAACCCCCAAATTTGGAGGTTTGTTTTTTCTCCTCCCAAAAGAGAATAAGGGAGTTACAAATGAACTTTGGCACTAGGACAACGATTATGATTTATTTGATGTTTAAATAAATTTGCATCCTGCTTTTTATGGCACATTTACTTGACAATACTGGAAAAGCTGCTTCAATAGCAAGGGTAAAATTACACTGTTAATTCCCTGGCCAAAAATCTAGCAGCTTAGGCCATATGTTTCTCAGGCTGTTCACACATTTTGTTTTGCTTCTTCTCTTTTCAACACCCTATCAAAGGTCAACTAGTATTCTTCCACATACCCAGATTTTCTAGTGTCAGTATTAACTATAATCAGTAACAGGAGTCATATAAAAGAGCAGCACAGAGCATTCTTTCAGGGGTGGGTGGTGGTGAGGAGTGTCTGAATTCAGATTAATGCTTTCAGATCTAGAAAAATTCAGACTGGCAATAGTCAAGGTTTCTACTGGCTAATGTGAATTGAAATGTTTTCCCAAGATAAGTGAGTATGCTAAATAATATATAAATGTTTAAGTAAAAGTAAAGTAACAACACACTTTGTAAATAAAGGTACTTAACTGTCAATAAGGAGCTTCAAGGTGGTTCTGGGATTCTGCTTGTTGACCAGCAGAAGCTGAATCACCAGGTTTATAGAATTGTCACTATAGTTGTGCCTACAGTACATTAAAACTGCATCTTATAGACAAAAATGTCACACTGGATAAGATTTCCAGTAAAGTTTGTGCCATCTATTGATCTAATTGCTTCTGACAGCCTAACCATTGTATTCTGAATCTTTCCAGAAAATCTACTGTATGGAAAGCAATGCAACCAATTCATACGTTGTGGACATCGTAAGTAGAGAATTTACTGGGAAGATGACTATTTTCTGAAGTAACCAGTTTCAGAATAACCTCTTCTAGTCAGCACTGAAAAATAAAATAGGCTCCTGGTCATCTCCCTTATGTTATGCTCTGCTTTCACAGAAAAGTTGCATAAAGAGTCCTCCTGTTTTTACATGCAGATGGATATTTACCTGAATAAATGTCCAAGAACTCTTAAGTGTGTGGTAATCTATTGTCCCGCTGCTTCTCTGCATCAGTGATACTGAATGGTGCTGAAGGGGTTTAGACCATGAACCCTGTCTACACTTCTTGATCCATAGAGGCTATGCTGTTAACAGTCAACTTAGCATTATAGAGTCACAGTACCACAGAATAATTCAGGCTTGAAGGGACCTCAGGAGGTCTCTAGTACAAACACCTGCTCAAAGCAGGGTCAGTTATGAGTTCCAACCAGGTTGCTCAATGTTTTATCCAGTGAGGTCTTTTAGTCTGCAGGGAAGGAGACTAAAAAGCAATAGGTGTTCATGCACTGCAGAAGACTTGCTACATCGCTAGGTTTTTCCATCTCATTCAGGGTGGTCTAAGATCCAGTGTACTCCTAGAGGTACAACAGAGCAGCCAGAAGCTATTGCAGGCTTTTTGTGCATCTCACATTTGTAGCAATAAGGAAACTCTCTTTACAGCAACAGATTCTTTACATGTGAGCACCACAAGTATGAGGGTTACCACTAACCTCTCTGCAACGGCACAAGAAAGAAATTCTCTCAGATTGCCCTTGCTCAGGAACAGGAGGGAAGGGAGGAAAGGGGTGAGAAAGACAAACAGATTCTATTACTTGATGATTCTAATTATGTGCGTGATAGGAGACAGAAACACCCACCACAGAACAGCCAATAGCCTCATACTGAAAGTATATATTTGGTTGTGAGGTACAAAATTTCAAATCCCAGGTCTAAATCACTCAAACAAGGAACTCAAAAGCCTATCTTCCACTTCTCTAATGAGTGAGTCTCCTAATCATGGCTGTAAGTTACTGCAGTGTGAACAAATTCATCTCTCTCATAAGTTCGTCAGAGAATAACACTGAAATATTTGGGATCGTCCCACTGCCAGGCACAGACTGGGTTGAAAATTCAAACACATATGAAATGGGAAAATCACTTCCTTCCTCTTCTGCTCTGAATCTACTTGTTATCCAAATAACTATACAATCAGACTTTGAAAATTGCTAAGTTTTTAGTTTCCAAATATCCTAGTACAATTTAATTCCACTATCAAATTCCATAGTTTAATTAATCATTCTAATGAAGAGTTTTCCCCATTCAAGAGGGTACACCCCTGTCTCTGATTTTGGGCTCATAGTTCATAATTACTCATTAGAGTGTAAAGAGAAAGAACTGAACTTAATCTTTGTTCACGCAGTCCTTGAGACATCTCTAGGACAGGCTTACAGGGAAATTGCAGACCAAAGCACTACCCTTTTACACCTACATTTAAAACAAGGCTAAACTCAGAAGGAATACTTACTGCACACTTCATAGTGTCCTACCTATCAAAGGTAGGACTTTTGCTTGCATAAGCTGTAAGACACTTTAGGGATGGAAAGATGACTGTTTTTACACAGATGGTATTTGCCAGGGTGCTTATGACTACTTTGCAGCTGCTTTGCCCTGGCATAGCTGGTGTAAAATAGCCTTTGGCTACCTATGAATCAGTCCCTTCATCTCAGCAAAGACTGAAAGATTTCATTTGATGTCTTTAAATGGGATGAATACATGTCAAACCAAGGGAAGAAATCAGCTCTGAGTCACATATAAGTGGCTTTCTGAGCAAGAAGGCACAGGAGGTGTAGTCATCTAATTTAAAATTCTTGCTCTTTTTATTTTACTTTTCGGCTTGTGATACTTAGTTCTTTTTCACTGTGGCTGCAATGCGCTTTACATAGAAAAGAAATCTTGTTAGACAGAGGCTTCACATAGTCCAAAGTCAATATGAGTTATCTTTGTCTGCAAAACAGTGACTACACTGATAAGAAAGCCACAAAACATGGCAGGGTGAGCAAGCGATTACTTTATATTTTTTTGAGGAAAATTAAAAATGAAAAAAAAAACAGTTTCTGGTTCATTCATTTTTCCTCCAAAAGATGTGCTTTGTGATGTAGCAGAGAAACTTCGCGACTGTCCCTTTAAAAGCCATCATACCAATCAGCAGGTTTAACTGTCAAGCAAGCTGATGTAGGGCTCTTTGAATTACTGAGTGAGGGATATTCTTCCTGCCAGGTCCTGTCCCCTGTAGGCACTGCAGAGAAGTATTATAGGGCAGTCCTTACCTTGGGAATTAGCCTGCAAGACCCCAATGCTGTCATCAAACTGCATAGATTTGATGTTGAGTGACGCCAAGATGCATTCCTTGTCCTGCAGCGAAGCATCATCAATATTATTCTGATTGGCTGACAGGATAACGCACATGTCGCAGAGGTTGATGTTGACAGCCCTTAAATCAGCCCGACTTAATGGCGTACCCTTCGGCACAGAGAAAAAAGGAGGGGGATGGGAGAAAGAGAGAGGAAAAAAAGAAAAACAAATTAAAGATTGAGAAGGAGCTTTGGGAAATTATTTAACAAGTATCTTTTTTATGCTCTGACATTAAGCGGGTCTAACTATGTGCCAGGGAATAGGAGATGTGTGCTAATCTAAAGGGTAGTTGGTGCTGATGGCAGCATTTTAGGTTCAGTCTCAATACGCAGTCAAGCTATTGCTAACAAACGAGAAATAGGAATAATGCCAGCATTCTGCATCTCATCTGTGACTTAAAATTGTCTTGATTTAAGTTGCTATCATGTGGCAACCCCTGGCTCTCTGAATATAACAGGGGGTGCGTTTTAAATGTCTGTTTATCTAATACCAAGTTACAAAGCTCTTGGGCGAAAGAGTAACAGTTGAAACGGAAAGCATTATGTTTCCCACACATTTGAAATGCAATCAAGATAAAGCTATTTTTCTAAAATGTGTGCTACCTGAAGCAATACAAAAAAGGTTAATCCTTTTCAGTGCATGTTTTTGGTGCTTCTACAAGGAAAACACACTGATCTTCAGAGTTGTGTGATTAAACCCTTTGAAACAGAAAGAAGACCCTAGCTTAAAGGGCACAACTCATGAAATATTCCCTGTTACCACAACGCCCAATTAGAGAATGCAATATTTGAAAAGAAATGTTGTGGTAGTCTGTGGGGTTTTTTTCATAGTTAACACAACCAAGACACCACACTTTACCTATCATGTTTTGTTTAAAGACAACACTTTCCTTTCACGTTCAGCAGTCTGTATCTCTAGATACGTGTCTATGTCACAGGACACAGATGTAGGATCCATGAAAAAAATGAGTTTTTATGGAGACTAGATTCTTCTCTGCTAGCTCACATGGATTGGTACCTAAAGACCCTAATAAGGATGGGGAGCATATGCAGTCCCCTTGTCTCAGAAAACTTTCATAAAACAGAGTCAAGACCCTACTCTTCCACCTCCTGATCATGGCGAATACCTCCTGAACTCCGCTGAGAATATTCAACGCAGAGGTGAATTTAAAACGCACAAAGCTAAGGCAGAGCTCAATTCTTATGCAATGACTGAGGAATATTCGCCATCCAGTTTCAGACAGCAATCTGTCTATTTCCAGTTACCTTTAGTAGTCTGAGGCCTGAAACTTCATGGAAAGTAGCATATATTGAAAACATATGATTTAGTTACAAAGTACTCAAAAGTTGGGATATGAATATTCCTGCCACCTTAATTCTGCCCTTTGTGTCTGTACTGTGCATCAAATGAAGTAGGACTCCTGTGGGGAAAAATAGTATGTAATTATGTTATTAATTAAAGACTTACTCTTAATGATTTTATGCAAAGGGACAGAATTAAGGCTGCCTGAGGATATACGAAATTGGCATTTGCCTACTTTTTAAGAGTTTACTCAGGAGCTTAAATGTATCTTTTAACAGAGGCTTTATATGAAATTTCCAAGTTTATTTTTAAATCAGGACTTTTTTTTTTTAATGTTCAGCTGTAACCACATCCCCATCAGGTATTAGCAGCAAGTTTTACCTCCTGAACCAAAGCATACAGAAGTAGAAAATGAGTTTGAGTGGCCTCCCTTAACACATGATTTCTACTGGTATGATCTCAGTAACTTTCTGGACTTTTTTATTAATATAATTAGATCAGAATAGTGCTGATATGTTTAACTTTATATGGCCATTTTGAACTAGATAGGCTGAAAAGAAGCAGTAATGGAGCCTTAACTTTACAGCCTTTGGCACCCTTGATTTCTATGTAAGATACAGTAATTCCTTTACATAATCAGTATTTTTAAAGCTGCAATAACCAGCTAATTAAGATGTCACTAGACTGTTTAACTTGAAATTAGTCCAAATTTGAGGGCAAAATGACTGGGGAATGTAAAGCTGGTGCATATTTCCTAATACCTATTCAGGCACTAGGAAAGACCTTGCAAATACATGTTATAATAATGCATCACAATGGAGAGTTCGAAGGTAGTAGCTGGGTGCCATTCTGCTTCACACTTCACTAACACCGCTAATTTAGTTGTGATTCTTTAATTTTATCTTTCAAAATGACCAGTATTAAAAGGGATTGGGAGGAAGAGGAGGATATTAACTGATGAAATCTGATATGGACACCATTTTTGTAACAGTAGAGAATCTTGTGATGCTATCTGTTGCGTCAGCTTGCAGAACAAAGCCAAGGGCTTACAATAAAACTGTATTTCCTGCAACAAAGAACTACAGTCTGGACTGATCAGAAAGTGAAGACTGTCTTTCCATTCTACAGTAATTTACCTGATTATTCACTTTAGGTTACAACTATCATGGACTACCATGAACTATTTTAAACTGCTGAAATGAAAATACTAAGAACTGGTAAACTCATATTTTTTCACCCTAATAAAAAAATCTAAACTCTGAATTGCAGAGCATTGCTTTCATATTTGCACAATAGGCTCTTTTGGCTCCTGCTTGCATCTCTATGGGTCATTTATAGCTATGTATGTATAAGATCAGTAGTTCAGAGGTCTGTCTTTGTTTGTACTGGAGCTCATGATTTACATTTTGTGCACGAGTGAATGGTACACGGGGATGTAGAAGTAGGACCTCTGAACTGTGGTTTTAGTGGCTGTCCCCACTAAAATCAATAGGAATTTTTCCATTGATTTCCAAAAGGTCAGAATTCCACACACTTCCTCAACTCCTTTTTACAATGAGTATGACAGAGATTCTGAATTTAAATGCTATGGCAATGCTCCTATAAAGTTGGCAAGCCTACAGGAAATTTTTATAAATACAGATAGATTTTATGTAGATGGAAAAACAATACATTTTTTCAAAGATTTTGTGGGTATAAATACATAAATAATGTCATAAATAACTACTGTTATTCTGTCAGGGAAATCACAACATCAGAAATGGCTACACGCAGTGCACAACAGTGAACGTTCGATAGAGAACACAGTTAATACATCTGATAGCAGCTGCAATTCATCCGATGAGGATGACGAGGGACTGAACACCGCAGCAAATATCTTCTAATAAGGTCTCACAGGGCTCTGTTTTCATAGACACAGTAAAAGGAAAAGCTAAGTCCTCAGGCTTATAACTAGACAAAAGTAAAAAATCCTAAGATCAAAGTCAATATGAATCTGTCCAGTTGGTGTCCTACATAACAAAGTATCAATAATACAGCTTCGGACTTACCGGCAAGATTGAAACCTTGGGGAAGTTATGCAGCGTCTCCCATTCCCTTCTCAGGTATTCAAGTGAACCCACAAACACAATGTGCTTGAGTTCATGGTAGTGAAAGTTGCTGGCTCGTAATGGCATCACCAAATTTCTTAATCCTATTAAAGCAGATTTAACATCCCCAAATATGCAGACGACTACATGCCCACTTAAAACTGTCATCGCTGCTTCACTTCGAGTCTAAAAAAAATTAAAAGAGAAGTGAGAAATAAAACAAAACGAAGGTCAAATTATATACTGAGTTTTAAACCAGGAAGAACACAACTGTCAATATTGTTCATGCACAAAGAAGCAGTTGGAAAATAGCTGTTCAATTTTACACTTACTTATCCTTCACTAAATGCGCTCAGCAGAAGAAAATTTGGTTCCTGTTCCCTTAAGCATGCATGGTCTCGTATATGTTGCTACACGTATGGATTAAGACTCTAGTTACAATAGGTGCACTATGGATTTATCAAAGAACCAAATTTGTCCTACTGTGCATTTAGTCATTAGAAGGATTATAGAAAAGGGATGCAAAATTGTGCCTTATCTGATAAATAACTAGTGTCTTTTCAGGACCAAAATGAAAAAGAAAGTGTGAGTGCCCAACGCTCGCAACAGGGCTTTGTGACATCCTGAGAGCTGAGGACCATATTACTCTACTGCTGGCCATGTTATTTTAGCACTAGCTGCTGCCAGTCTGCGAGGTAAACTGAAGAACCCTCTACACCATTCTGCTGTACAATGGATGCCCTTACGCCATACTCCACGGTGCTTCTCTCAGTTAGAAATAACTAGTGTGCAAGATCATGACTAATATGAACTTTTCAGGCCAGCTGGACTTCCTGAGCATTGAACAGATAGAAGAAAAATATCTCGTGGAGAACATCTGAATGATGTTCAGTATTACCTTCTTGTCTCAGTAACAGGAATTAAATTTTTACACTAATCTCATCAGTGGTAATGTCAGTTGAGCAGACACCATGATGATTAAGTAAAGTCATTAGAAAATAACGACCTTCATTTCTGGAGCCAACCTTAGTATTATTGCACTCCGTCAAGTAACTGAGATCCATTGATATCATATTGCCAAGAAGCGGGACACTCTGGCATTAGACACAGGTTTGCCAACAGATAAAACTAAGACAATAGTGAACTGGAAAAAATTTTCCTTTTCCTTTACTTTTCTATAGTATTTGTTCTTTGTCTAAATTATGGAAGTATGACAATGTGCAATCCAGATTGGAATATGTAGCAAAGGTACTACCTGTGTAAGAAAAAGGGAAACTCCATGATTAGATTTCCAATTAGTTAAAAAACAGATGAGCTTTTAATTTTCTCGGGTGCAACTGCACTGATTTTCATGCAACTCTACCATGAAAGTGGTCTTGGGCCTTCAAACAACAGAACACGTGAGTAAATGCTTGAGTTAAACATGTGAGTAGACCCTCACATGAGATATGCCTCATGCCTAGGGGCCCAGCATACGGAGACTTTACAAGAGAGCGCCCAGGTCCTGAAATAAAATATGTAAAAATTGCCTCTCCATACTCATTAATCTGTATGTAGTCATGTACTTTTGTCTGAATGTCAAAAAAAGGAGTTCTCACTATCTGGTGCTGCTGGCATCTTGCAGAGCCAAAACAAATCTTGGGCAGAGAAATGAATTCGTTTCTGATTAAGGCATCATCAACAAGTTGCAGTTAGAAGATGATCTGGGAAATTCCATCATCTTCAAATTACGTACTGATTTGTACTTGTGTGGTCTCTAAGGACAGCATTAAATTTGCATGAATATGAATGTAGACATAAATTGTGGACAGTGAGCTT